CCCACTCCCCACATGCCCCATAGACTGGGCTCAGCCAGTCCAACACCAGAAGCTAGGAACTCCATTCAGGTATCCTACATCAGTAGCAGAAACCAAGCAGTTAAGCCATCACCTGCTGCCTCCCAGGGTGCACATTAGCAGGATGCTTAGCCGGAAGCGGAGTAGCCAGGATTTGAATAAGGCTCTCAAATACGGAATGCAGTTATCCTCAGGGGAGTTCCAGCAGCTGTGCCACAATTCCTGCCCATAAAATGCAGGTTATTTAATCTTAAAGATTAAAGTTTTGAAGAATGTTGCTTCCCTGAGATCCCATTTTAATTTATTAATGATAATCTCCTGATGGCTGGGGCCAGCACTGTGGCATTGTAGGCTAGGCCTCTACCTACAGTGCAGGCATCCCATATGGGCAATGGTTTGAGTCCCGCTGCTCTTCTTCTGATCCAGCTCTTTGCTTATGAACTGGGAAAGCAGTGGAAGATGGCCCAAGTGCTTGGGCCCCTGCACCCACGTGGGAGGCCTGGAAGAGGCTCCTGGCTCTTGGCTTCAGATTGGCCCAGCTCCAGCCATTGTGGCCATTTGTCAAGTGAACCAGCAGAAGGAAGACCTTACTTTCTCTCCCTTTATCTGTCTATAGCTCTGTCTCTCAAATAAATAAATAAATAAATCTTTTCAAAAATATCCTGATGTCTATCTACTACGGTTCAAAAACCCAATATGAGAATTATGGATAGGATTTGTGGGCCTGCAAGTCTAGCATCATATTTTGTTTAAGCTGAAACCTTAAATTTGAGATGCTGACTTATGATGTAAGGATGAGCAAACTCTTAAGCAGCAATTGCAAAAACTGGAAATCAATCCTGCCATTCAGTCCTTTAATAACTCAGCCAATCAGCCAGTCACTCAGAGTTGCACTGGCAGAATTCCCTATTAGAAGTACCTTCTCTTTTTTCTCCTTCTTGTTATATGAAGATCAGAATAAAATACACATCCAAGATGTCACTTCCAAATATCTTCAGCATATTATGATTATTGATTACTTTTTAATTGGTGGCTCACAGGAATTATATGCTCTGTTCTTTGTCCACAAATAAGTCCTTTCAGTCTAGCCAGGGGTGAGGTAGGAAACAATTCTAGAGTGCAGAAGTCATCAAGTATGTTTCCAGTGGATGCATAATGTGGACCTCCCAGCAATCTATAGCCAAGGCCCACCTTGCCTTTCTATAATGAAAGGGCAGGAATATAGCCAACATTTCCTTTCTCATATAAAGATGCTGATGAGAATTTTGTGGTTGCCTCCATACAACTGGCATCAATATTATATTGATTTACATTCTTTCATTCGAATATATGCCTTCAATGCCATTTACCTTTAGTTCCAAAAGAATACACATTTCTTGTAGAGTTTGGGAAAGTACTACTTTGTGGATAGGACTTTTACAAATATTTAAGTAAATGTATTTGACAATTCTAAATGTGACGTGTGAAGGGCACTAGACAGTAAGTATTTGTTGAATGAGTAAGTGGATGGGTGAGTGACTTTGTCCCTTATGTGTTCCTATGTTCTTTCTGCTCATCAGCTCCCTTGGATTGTAATCTGGTACTCTGCTTCTGTGTCTTCAGGAAGAGAATGGCCTCTGCAGTGGTAATGCAGCCCTACTGGCATAACAATTGCATTTCCCATAGGAATTTAAAAGTTGGCATTATGGTCTTATTTAAAGATACAGCTAGATTTAAATGCTTCTCCACAGAACCTAGCCTAGTGCCTGAAACTTCACAGACACATAATATATATTCAATGACTGTTCTCTGCTGTAGTCTACCTCATCGTCCCTTTCAGTCAGGGCACCACAGAACACATTCTTCCTTTAAGAAACTGGATAAACAGTCTTCCTAAAAATAAAAAATAAAATGAAATCGAGAGGGGTGGGTGGCTTATCAAAGGAGATACAGCAGATGGAGGTATGCTTATAAGCCTGCTCTCCATCTTCCTTCTAAATATATGTGTTCCACCAGGCCCTGGGGATGGAGCCATTTCAAGTGTGGGTGTGGGGCACTGGTTCAAAATAAACTATACAGCATGAGGCTGTCCTTAATGTCTTTACACAAGTGAAAATGGGCTGAAATGAACAACAGGGACACTCTTTATGGGAGACGAAAAGGAAAAGACAGCACAAATTGAACCACGTAACTTCTGGAATGGAGAAAGGGACACGGCCACTGTTGCCAGGTAGCCCCTACCATATGTGCTAGGACCAGCACATGCACTGTTCCAGTCTCTGGGTGGATAGCCAAGGGGGATTTCTCTCTTTCTGTCTCCCATAACAAGAATTCCCTCAGGCTTAGTTCCACATCTACCTAGTTCTTGCAGCAGCGCGGGCCCATAGATGCCAGAAATCTGAATCAACTGCACGTATTTGCCTTATGCAAAGGAAGCTTGGTCTTGGGTCATTATTTAAATATTATAGAATGCTTTCCACAGAGCCACTGAGTATCCACTGAACACAGACTGTGATGACACACAGTGATGAGGAGCCCCCGACACCGTTCCAGCACGTGGGCACTGGAATGAAGGCCCCACCTTGTTGGGAGCACATGACCTGAAAAGATACTCTAGAAAGAAAAAAAGGAATGAAGGCAGTGGGAAGCATCAGATGAAGGCTGACCTTTTAAAGCAGAAAAGAGAGTTGAGAAATGCAGCTTCCTAACCTTTGCCTTGATGTAGCTAGGGAATGAGGAAATGGATGTAGGCAGTCACATGACTCCAGATAATATTCTCTGACGACCTGAGTCTGTCCTAGCTCCAGCTCATTTCCAGGGAGCAGAAGTAATCTCCCTTCAACAAGGGCTACACCAAGAGAGTGAGGTCAGGAGAGAGTCCAGGACTCCCTCCTCCTGACTGACACCGCCAGTATGTTGATAATCAACATCTCTAAGAAGGATCCTGCAGCTTAAAGCAGTGTGGCCTTACCCGGTAGACCACAAGAAGGTAATATGAAAATAACCAGATAGCACAACCCTTAAACAACAGGAAAATTCATTCAATACAAGGCAGGAAGTAATCTTTTTGCAGAGGATAATATTCATTAATTGGACTTACATCATCATGTAGTGTTAATATTTAGCTAAAGTAATCTAACCAGACAGCTATATAATTAGGCTACGATCCATCAAGAAACATAAAGGAAAAGAGATACTTTACACGTGACATCCCTTATTTTTAATCCACTTTATGATACTTTTCACGTTGTACTATAACGGAGCTGTGTACTTGTCTGTATCTCCCACTAGGCCGTAGGTTCCTGAAGAGGGACCTTGGTCTCTCCCATACTCTTTGGTATTAAAGGTACCTGGGACATAGGAGGTCATCAAAGCACTGTTTAGAACGAGTGCCTCCGTGGAAAGTAAATAGATCGAAGTTTATACCAAATTCCCATCTGCAGGTCGTTAATGGAAACCTGGAGGAGAGACTGGGCGGCAGGGACTCAGCAGCGTGAATGGGAAAGACGGCTCTGATCTTAGATGCTCTGCATCAGAGCTGCAGTGCACCACTGAGCACAAGACCGTCCAGCCACGGACACAAACCGGGGCCAAAAGTCCAGTCCGGGCTTCACTTACCAAGCCACGAACCCCAACATTGCTCTGTATCTGCCCATAGGAAACAGGCCTACTTCCAAATTCCTACAAACTAGATGTGGCCCTGGTTTAAATAATGAGTAAGCTCTGATTACATCCCCAGGGACAAGAAAAATTGCCCTACCCAATCAGCACCACAAAAAGTGGTAAAGGAAAGTGAAGCCTGGGCCCGGTGCTGTGGCCTAGCGGGTAAAGCCACCACCTGCAGTGCCAGCATCCCATATGGGTGCCGGTTCTAGTCCCAGCTGCTCCACTTACAATCCAGCTCTCTGCTATGGCCTGAGAAAGCAGTAGAAGATGGCCCAAGTTCTTGGGCCCCTGCACTCACGTGGGAGACCTGGAAGAAGCTCCTAGCTTCGGATCGGTGTGGCTCTGGCTGTTGCGGCCAATTGGGGAGTAAACCAGCAGATGGAAAACCTCTCTCTGCCTCTCCTTCTCTCTGTGTAACTCTTTCAGATAAATAAATAAATCTTTTTTTTTTTTTTTGAGTGAAGCCCATCTATTCTTGAGAACACTGAGATAGGAGATTATTTTTCCTCTGGATTTTCAATGTAGGGTGATGGACTTTTAAAAACTTATTTTTAATGTTTAAAAAAAATGACCCCAGAAAGTGCGTTATGAAGTCAGAAAATGCCTAAAAGAACTGGAAGAAACCTTAAAGGTCACAGAATTGCGTTGTTGGTAGAGTTCACCTGGTTGAATAATTCTATTAAGCGATTTGCCAGAGTGTAGTCTGCAAAGCTAGGTCCAGTTCTTCCCGCCAGAGCCGGGGTCGTCACCATCATCAACACCGACTGCCTACCCACTGTGTGGGAGAGGCTGAGACATAAAGACCTAGTGTCCATCAAGGGCATTACAATGAGGTCGAGAACACAGGAAACCCATGTACTCAACGATAAGTAATAATAGGAGATGGCATATAAGCAAAGTCCAGACTCCAGCTGCTCGCGGGAGCCGTGACTCCGAGGTGAGTGTAGGCGTGGGGTGGAGTGCCCTCGTGTAGGCTGACCATTCTGGAGCCACCAGAAGCAGGTGGCTACAAAGTCCAGCTGAGGCCCAAGCCGAGCTCAAGGTCACAGAAGCAACGTCACCCGAGGACCCCGTGGGCTCACGACCCTCATTATAAGGACGAGGGGGGGGGGGAGCCTGAAGCCCACAGGGCGGGGGCGGGGTCTGAGCTGAGGAGGCCCAGGGGCGGCGGGTGACCTCAGCCGACCCCGCATTCTCGGCCTGAGGGGCCCGGAGCGGAGGTGCGGTGGGGGGAGAGGGAGCCGGAGCTTCCGGGGCGGGGCGCGCGGCCAGCGGGGCGGGGCCTGGGCCCCAGGCCCGCCCACGTCAGGCTGCGTGACAAAGGGGCGGGCCGCCGAACGCGGCTGCGGCGGCCGCGCGCCTCGCAGGGGGCGGAGCCGCCGCCGCCGCCACCGCCCGCCGCAGCCCTGTTCGGGATTTGAAAGATTAAAAACTCCCGGTGGAGAGGGCGGCGGCGTTGGATGTGTGGCGGAAGCGCTGGGGGCCGCGGCCGGGCCGCCGGCGGCGTCTCCACAGCATGAACTACGCGGGCCGCGGCTCCCCGCGGAGCCCCGAGCATAACGGCCGGGGCGGCAGCTCCTGGGAGCTGGGCTCCGACGCGGGGCCGGCGTTCGGCGGCAGCGTCTGCTGCTTGGAGCACCTGCCCAGCGGGGACCCGGGCGACGGCAGCGTGCCCCTGACCCTGCTGCGCGGGGAGCCCGGGCTGCACTTGCCGCCGAGCGCCGACGACCACGACCCCCACCTGGCGCTGGACCCCTGCCTCAGTGACGAGACCTATGACTTCAGCTCGGCCGAGTCGGGCTCGTCGCTGCGCTACTTCAGCGAGGGCGAGAGCGGCGGCGCCTCATCGCTGCACCCGTCGCCTCCGCCGCCGCCGCTGGGCCCGGCGAACTCGGGGGGCGGCGGGTCCGGGGAGAGGAAGCGCGCGCGGCCCGGCGGCCCTGCCGCCCGGCATCGCTACGAGGTGGTGACGGAGCTGGGCCCGGAGGAGGTGCGCTGGTTCTACAGGGAGGACAAGAAGACCTGGAAGCCATTCATCGGCTACGACTCGCTCCGCATCGAGCTCGCCTTCCGGACCCTGCTGCAAGCCACCGGGGCCGGGCCCCGGGCCAAGGCCCCGGACGGCGACCATGTGTGCGGCCCGGCCTCCAGCTCCGGAGAGGAAGACGACGAGGACCGCGCCTGCGGCGGCTTCTGCCCGCGCGCGGCGAGGCACGAGCCCGCGATGCAGGAGCTGGTGCCCATCGAGCCGGTGTGCGTGCGGGGCGGCCTCTACGAGGTGGACGTGGTCCAAGGAGAGTGCTACCCCGTGTATTGGAACCGTGAGTAGCGGGACCCTGCGGAGGGGTGGGTTGGGGGGCCTGGCCGCCGCGGGGAGCGAGGCGCGGGAGGCCTGGCGAGGGAGACGGCTGGTGATGGGTCGAGGAGCAGGTGGCAGGACCCAGGCCGCCGGGGTGGGGGTGGGGGGTCGGGAGAAGAGGATCCCGCTGGTGCGTGTGTGGTGGTGGGCTGGCGGGTAGCGCCTCCTGCGTGCGCTTCCCTGGGGGGCGATGCAGGAACGGATCCCCGGCCCGGAAGGTTGCGTTTCTTGATCCCCACCTGGCGATCTGCTTCGGTCTCGTGGAGCCCGCACTGCCTGGGATTCAGCAGCAGCCGGTGCTCCGGCGTTGGGGGGAGGGCGCCGGTGAGAGAGGATCTGCGAGAACCTGCAGTGCTGTTGAGGGAAGGGAAGATTGATCCCTGGCGGGAAAGGAAAGGCGATGGGTTTTCGCGCCCCGGGCGTGCGGGAGAGGCGGGCAGCGCCGCGGGAAGCGGTTCTGGCGAGTGGGTTCGTTCGCCCTGGGGAATACTTGTTTTGGCCCCGTTGCATATTTTTGTTTTTGCCTCGACCTCCTCATCTGTAAAATGGGGAGATATGTACCTACCCCAGGGGGTTGTTGTGGAAAGTGAGAAAAATACAACGTGAGGGTTTGCAGCCCTGCCTGGCGCCTGTGTGCGACGTGAGTGTTAACGTTATTCCTCAGACAGCGGTCGCTAGGTTTATAATTCAGAGTAATGAAGAAGGGCAGAAGTGCGTCTGATTGCACGCAGCAAATACTGCAGAAGCAACATGTTAACAAAAGCTATCGGCCACCAGTAACTTGTAATGTACAGTTTTAATTTTTGTGAGCCTGGCGCCCCAACTCAAATATCTTCGTCGATTGTCACTACTCTTGGGCCCAACATGTGTCTTACAGGATTCTGCTTTCTGTTAATGAGTCGTAGTGACGGCTTATTTTCCCTTTTGTATGTTTGGCAGCTTACGGTTGGAGTCCATCACCCTTATCTTGGACTTCTTGTAGGGCCTGGAGCAGTAGATATTCAACAACTGGGGATTGGATTGCATCAGTGATTCTGATCGTGTTAAAACATTAATATGTGAAGCACCAGTTACTCAGATAGCAGTGGCAACCTGTGCCGTGGGATCAAATAAGCATAGGAGGACATTCAACCACTTAGGGCACTTGAAGATGCCACTGCAGGCATTTGCTGCTATGTTTTAAGGTCAGGTTCATGTGGGATCTGTTCCATGACTCCTTCCTTTTGATTATACGCTAAGGACAAGATACACTTGTATCCATTCATGGAATTCTCCGATTCTGTTTAAGTTAATTGTGTGTGCATAACAGAAGCTTGGGAAGGCTCTAGGAAAGGTGGCATAAGGAAAAATCCTTACCCAGCCAGGGTTTCCACTTACGTGTTTTCTTCAAATGAACTAAGCATCACTGTAAGGGTTTTTGTGTGTGTGTGTGTGTGTGTTTTTTCCTTTTTTCCATGATCATAGAAGCACAAGGACTTGGTTTAGCCACAAATTTGAATAAAAATGCATGCCATCTTTGAAGCAAGGACAAGAAAACAAGAGATAAATCTTACCTTAGGTTAAATAAAGTATATTCACATAGAGTAATGTGTGTTCTTTTGAGCTATGATAAAATTGTAACTACGTGCATTGTCCGTCACTGTTTACAGAGTGATTTTTGGACACTGGTTCTTTCACAGTGATAAGAAGTTGATGTTAGCATTCTGTGTATGAGGACGTGGAGTCAGTGAAATTAATGAACTCGTTCAAGGTCACTCAGCTAGAAAGTGATGAAGCGGTTCTTTAGACTAATGGGGGAATCCAGGGCAGTATCTAAGGGTTTTCTCCCCTTCTAGGGTGAGGGTGTGAGAAGAATTTTCCTGAAAGGTTGAAGAAGGGCGAATTGGTTCCGACACAGGGAGGGAGGGAGCATTATAGCCAGGTGGAGAGCGAAACGCAAGGACACAGGTGCATGAGACCGCGCGGCATTTTGAGGAAATAGGGGCTGCCGCTGCAGGGGCCGAGACAGTGGGACGAGTTTAGGGTTCGACCTCCACAGAGGAAGGTGTATGTGAGCGCTGGTGTTTGGTCCTGGGCAGGATGGAGATTGTGTAGGGAGCACCTAGACATGAAAGATACATTTGGGAGAACAGCTGGAAAAGGAATAGGGTGCATGTGGAGTTTGGACTTCATCTTGTGAGTCACTGAGAACCAGATAACTGAAGGTTCTCTCTTCCCTAGGCGTGAGGAGTGACTGGGTCAAGGTTGGATTGGAGGATTAGAAACAGAATATCGTTAGAATGCCACTGTTGTAAACCAGTCCGGAAATGGTGCAGCATGCGAAAGTTAACCTGAAGGTAGTTATCTCAACTCTTTCCTAAAGCAAATAACCCTTAAATTATTATTTGCTAACTAGCATAACACCAGCAGCACCTATTTTAGCGCCATTTTAGCATTTCCTAAATAGTTTCCTGGAGATGAACCTGTGAGTGCCCAAGGCCGTCTTACCTGGTCTACGGTGGAGACAGCCTGCTGTCTGTGGTGTCCTGTAATGTACCATTTCTCACAAAATGCCAGTCGACTTTGTTCTGTCTCTTTTTGTCTCTGTATTTTCTAAGTTTTCATGGCTTCTTGGGAGCGTTCAGTCCCAGTGTGGTCTCTTTGGCTTTTCTTCAAGTGGAAGAATGGTCTGCAGCCTTTGACCTCCCTCACAGCCCCATTCTACTTTTCCTTCTTGATCTTTTTGGAAACTTTCTGAATAGTGGTAATGACAGATTTGTACCAGAAAAGTCCACTGTGTTTCTTGGAGGATGGTGATAGGGTTCCATTAGCCATTTAGATTTTTGTCACCTGCTTTAGCCCTCTGCGTCTGGGTGTCAAGACCAACAAGTTAAGCTGTGCCTCTCTTAAAAAAATAGTAGTAATAATTTACTCTTCTTTTTGAACTTTACTAGCAGATAAAATTTGAAGTTAGGGCACGTGAGTCAGAAGAGGAACTGAATTTGTCTTTTACAGATATGAAGCCAACATTATTACATACTTTAAAAAAACTAGTTGTAGGAAATTTATTTTTGTTTTGTATGTTGAGATCCTCTTCTGACTGCATGTGGACATTTTAGATAAATACGGATCCTTGCTGAGTAATGGCTACGTGAACTCTCATGTCTCTGGTGTTCTTTCTGAGCTGCGCATGCTCACTTGGTAGGCTTGTTCTGAGGATTGTTACCTGTAACACACTTAGAAAAGTAGTTGCCACACAGTACTAGGTAGGTGTTAATTCTGTGTGGATCTCATAAAACCATACCTCTTATTTGTAGAATCTCACGTAAAGATTAATAAGGTTAGCCAAAGTAAAATTGTTGAGTGCTTAGCTTTTATTATCCTGTACCTCAAAGGTGAAAGAATGTTTATACAGAATATGGGCAAGGAAGTGGCCAGTAGCCGATGGGAAGGCTTTTTTGTGAGCTGACAAGTCTTTAAAGCGGTGCTGATGGCAGCGATGTGTGCAGTATGCACTGGGCAGTATGTAATTTCCATCCAAAGACTGACTTAGTAAAGTCCATTATTGACAACTTTTCTATGAGTGTGTAGTCTCCAGAAGCAATCATTAACTACAGACCACATTTTTCTTCTCCCTCCATCTCTAACCCTACATTTCTGGTATACTTATACGGCCTACTTGCATTAGTGTAATTTTAAACCATTTTCAGTTCTAAATATTTGAGAAATTTACCATTTGTCTTCAAGATACTGAAATGAAACATATTCGCAACAAGATGAGTTGGAAAAATTCAATTTTTTCCTTCAAGTACATGATGTTTACTAACTTGCCATAGATGTAACTGTGTTACTCATTCAAGAGTGAGTAACAATGCTTTATGTGGCATAGGGCATTATGGGAAAATAATGGAGTCCTGGGCAGTAGAAGGCACTCTTTCTTGGTTAGTTTCTGCCTCCAGTAAAGCAGGACTCTATAGAAACCAGGCATCATTGACACACTTGATCCCAAAAATGTTTTGGAAGCTGCAACTCTTTTTATCTGCATTATCCTCCGCTAACCCAGCCTGGAAAGCTGCCTTGGGTTGCATTGGAACCCTGACTGCTCGGGGTCACAGAACTTTGACAGAAGTCTCCTGAGAATGTACCACCTCCCTGACCAAGTGGGCTTCACAGTGCATTTTTCAGTAAGCAGCTGAGACAGTGCGAGCACACTACCTGGCCCAGACATTCGGGGCTTCTTCTCCCTTTGCCATGTGCCATTAGTTTACAGACTGATCAAATGCCAGTTATCCACCCATCTTGTTTGTGGATGGCTCCTGTGTAATAATACATGTTAAGCAAGAGCTTTATACAAATGTTTAATTAGTGTGCTTTTCTTTCCTGTTTCTGGCAAATTCTTCCTCTTTCTTCCTTTATTATTTTGTTATAAAAGAGATCCTGTGTAGTCTTCCCTCTTCCAGATTTTGTTTCCTGGGTTTTTTTTATCACCACATCACTCCCGATAGTTTGTGTTTTGCTGTGATCTTTCATGTCTGGAACCCTGCAGCTGATCCTTTTTCGTAGAGACCAAAGGAAAAGCTGGATGTGGCCAAGGAATTCGCTGACTTGTGAACACTAGGGGGAGAATGGAGGGGGCACAAGGAGAAGAGGGAATAGGTGCGCTGTTCACAGAAGGCCTCAGGTGAAGGTTATTGGCAGAAGAGCCTGGAGGTAGGTCTGAAGTCCCTGGAAACTGGGGAATCTGATCTAAGTCTAACTTTTCATGGATATGATTGAATATAAACTGTACGTGTTATCGAGGACAGTTGTCAACACTGATATAGATGCAGACAGTCCCTTCTTTTTTGCCACAGTACATTCCTTTTTCTTTTTTGGATAGGCAGAGTGGACAGTGAGAGAGAGACAGAAAGGTCTTCCTTTTTGCCGTTGGTTCACCCTCCAATGGCCGCCAAGGCTGGCGCACCGCGTTGATCCAAAGGCAGG